AGTGCATCTTCGTTTGATTTAAGTTATCTGTAACTAGGCCAGGAGAACCACATCCACGTAAAAGTGACGTAATTGTCGAAAATTTGAAAATGATTTTAAATATTTTTTGTACGATACCATTCAATAACTTAGATTGAAAATGGTTCTGTTTTTTTCTAGGTAATTATTATCCCCGTGAAACATTTCGAACGCCACATATATGAAAAATAGAATAAAAATAACAACGATGTATCTTATAACATCTGAAACTCAGTCCCGTCGCGTTTTCTGTCGAACAAAAGCTACATCAAAAAACCGAACGTTTTTCCAGGCTCTTTGAACTTCCACAACAAACTCGACTCTTCGTGTCACCTGTTTCTAGAAACAAATGGTGGGAATTATTAATACCTCATTAAGTCAACAACAACAAACAATTCCAACTGCAAGAAATATAAAAATTCCGGATTATGAAAAAATTACAATTCAGACCTGCAACATATTAAAACTTGTAAAATATCAGCTGTTAGCTATGAGATCTAAGTTAAAGTAAGAACTTTAACTTTTCCCCTAAGAACAACTAGAACTATAGAACAAAGATAACATTTCACCTATTCCAGTACTGTGTTTGAAGGTGTACATGAAGCAGAAGTAAGCCACTAAAATTTTGTTCGGCACAGGTGAAACGCCAAGATGACGAATTTGCTTGTTTTTGAGGCGAGAGGCGGTAATGGTCCAACTGACCTTAGACTCTGCATCTAACAAATATCCCACTCTAAGATATGTTTTCTGAGTGGATTTGGCCCTTTCAAGTCATACCTTTGATTCTAGTGCAATAATACAGTGATTTATAGTTTAAGCCACATGATAAATAATCTCGCTAAATAATGTCGGTATTTCTTCATTAAGTAAGGCAGAGTAGAATGATAATAAATCAGCAGGACTATTCGATCTTCATACTGTGATCATTCGAAGCAATTGGCCTGTCATAGTTTGGAGAATTACACTCCTCTCCATAAGTTTGGCAACTGGAAACCCCCCCCCCTCCTCCCTACTCCCCCCCCCCCTTGGACCCTTTATCAATGCCTGTTTATGATTAGCGATACTTACCAATGTAGACCATACATGGTTTGTATATATTCGAAATATAATGTTATACACTTTTAGTGTGGTGTATGAGTTCCTATACATACAAACATTTGTGTCACTGCCGTTTTTTATATCGCCTTGCAAGTCAAAATATGATGTTTACTTCTGACTTTTGATTGAGATGTCAAAGCGTAAAATTCATATTATGAAATCAAAAGTAATTTTACTGAGAGAGAGATGTTTACAAAAACTAAGTTAGTAATGTACGTAAATAGAGAGTATATTATGCTAGAATCTTACTGATGCCTGAAGGTTCAGCAGGCCATACCCCTGATGCATCGCCAGTCCTCGACGCTAAGTAGTCCATTTGTTATGTAGGCTTCTGGTTTTCTCTTTTCTTTTAAATTCGCATCAATCAGATGTCATAGGATTCGCCATTCTTCCATAGCGTTTAAGGGTCGAAACATTAGACATATATTTCTGATATGTGTTAAAAGAGAACCCGTCATCATGAATTGTTTTATTGGTTATTGTTTTGTTTCTATGACATCATAATTTTCCCCTTTATATGTTGTTAACAATAACAGATAACAATAACAATGCAAAAGCAGATTTGAACCACTTACCTCAATTAAGAAAAAGTTTAAAAAATCAAAAAAGACTATGAATACGAAATGGGATGGGTTGTCAATTTTAAACTGAGAAATAGTTTAGCTTTGATTAGTTTTACTGGTCCACCCTTCGCCAGCTCTGAAACTTTTTTCCCATCGCCCACCGAGTTTATCAGTCTCAAGTAATAGTAAACCGGATCCTCTTATTTCAAACGATATGTCGTTATTTAGAATTTAGATTAAGTTTTATTTATATTTAATATAAGACCATAAATCATGACAAACCATAGCACAGGGCAACACTGCAAAACCCAAACTTACAGAAACTTCGTGTACAAACTAGGGCAAACTCAAACCGAGAAACTCAATCAGAAACTTCAGAATCGATTCGAAAAGGGACGATTATGACAGTGCAGCACTGTAGACTTCTAATCCTCCATCGTAATTGATTTGGAAACTACTTAAAAGACATACAATTGACAGGAAACACGGAGATGCTTGAAAGATAAGTTAAACATAAAGTTTTTCATACGAATATGGAGACTATCAGTGAACTGTCACGACATGATCAATTCACTACATGTCACTCTGTTTGTGAACAAATGTCACCGATATAGTCGACGTTAAAGACACGTTAAGGTGGGACTGGTGGAAAAATATTGAAAATCTTTTGGGTGTTTTCAATATTGTTTATCCCATTTACTAATTTAATCGAATCCCCTTAAGGATGTGGCCCGATGAATAGAAATGAATTTCTGAACTTTAGAGGACACTTCTTCTTTTCTTCTCCCAATGTAAAGCAATCATGATTACGTATGTCACTCTAGTTTTACCAAAATCATTATCATTAACATTTATCTTAAAATGTCAATCAGATAAATACGATAAAGCCAAATGTCAATGGATAAACAAAATAAAAGTTTAACCCTATGCTCTGAAGTAATCCTAGGTTTAAAGGATCCTAGCCTCTAGGATATGGTAGAAAACGTCCCAAATGCTTCATTTCAGTTTCTCGGGACTCGCAAGTGTCAAATGTAGGATACTAAAAGACAGAATGTAGCACGAAACGAAAGTAGATCATTATTAGCCATTCATTGTTTGTGCTTGGACATCATGCATCATTTTAATTGGTGACATTTGAGAACAAAACATGACACGCTGGCCCCGTTTTGACCGTGCATTCAAAGCATACTTTTTTGATGTGGTTGAGTTCTGTTTAAAATCTCACACAATTGAAGCGGAATCTTTGAGTTTTGCTACAGACTGAAAGATGTTTTGTGAATCATTGGTTACATTCACAACAGTTGCATTTTATTTTTGAAATTAGACCAGATGTATCATTTTTGTATCTTTGATGTTTACTTTTTTCCAAAAATAAAAATGAAAACATGTCATACCATACAATAGGCTATGATTTATTGCCAATGCTCCAGTAATAAGTAACGTTTTGTTTTGAGATTATTTTGTTTTTATATCAACCCGATTGATTTCAAATCACGTTTTAATGATCACCTAAATAACGTTAATGATAATTTACCGGAGACGCAGGACATATCTAAAGACCCCCCATTTTGATACTGTCACATAAAAGTGTTTCGATCACAATACAGATGCCCATTCAGAATGGGAACGTCTATAGAATCATCCGTCAGAGTTCTCCGAGATGATCCCGGGTTGCTCTGAAATCGCATGGTGGTCACTTGAAGTGATTGAACCATTGAATGTCGATAGTGTAAAACTTGGGAACTTCTCGTTTGTAGCACCAACTCTGTCACATACATATCTAAAAGACTGGGGCAGCTACTGTCTTCAAAGTCATCTTTTAATTCGTGAAAAAATCGATGAATCAAAAACAACAATTTTCTCAACAAGGGATTAGATTCAATTTAAAAATCGATGAATCAATGCAAAAAGAACATTTTTGTCAACAAGGGAAATTAGATTGTGTTGACAGATTACTGTTTTGGAATACTGTTTTTTCGAAATTCGCGTGCTTACCCGATCTTCCATTGAAATTTCTTTCATACTCCTACTTCCCTAGGGCTAATATCACTTTCAGTGTTTTGGGTATATAGTTGACACTTTGAATTACAACCGTTTCTAATTATAATCGAACGAAATTTAGTGAAAAGAAGTGTCAAAGAATTCACTTGAACCCATGCCACTCTAAATCAATAGCGTGTAGAGAATGAAAGGCAGCAATTTGTATAACAATAAGAAATTTTAGTGTTTCACTTTCTGTAGTCAATGTCAGGATTTCGGAGAGAAAGCAGCGGTGGTCGACCGCAATGTAGTTGTTGTAATACGGAGACAAGTGCTGTCAACCACTTGTGATCAACACTGAACATGTAAATTCTAAATATTATCATAACTGAATCCGGTCGGAAGAAAAATGTTACAGATAGATAAGCATACTTTAGTTTAACAGTTTAGAAATCGGTTGTTTGGGCGGGAAAAGGAAACATCCAATCGACCCAATGTCAAACCATGTCCAATCGTCCCAATGTACTCAATCCTTCGGCAATTAATGATCACATGATTACTCAGATGCGAGTAGGTATTCACCAGTTTTACCACCAGGTGGCTGATTTGGGGGAAATAACACGGCAGGGTATTACAAAATTCCCTTAAACTTGAATGTTCATCAGTTTTAGTGGTTCACTTTTCATATAACCCCTACGTATCTGATAGTTTAAAATTAGAATATGTCCAGTAAAGGAAAATACTATCTGCCAAACACAAGAAAAGATATTTCACTTTTTGTGATTTTACAACATGGAGTCTATGCGGAATCTCCCCGACCAAGAAGTCACATTTTCAAAGAAAATTAAATTTTCAAAGTTGATAAACCACATTTCTAGATGTAATTTTACATGTAGATTCCAAATACAGTATGGCATCAGTTTGACTGAATTTTGAATTTTCAATGACGTAAATCAAGATTATTTCTACTCGCATCTCGTCTATTGGATCAATTGAATCATTTGAGTTAAAATTTTGCGAGAAATTCATGGAAAAGAATAAAGGTCTGAGGTTTTGTGAATGCAATTATCAACCATTCAAATTATTAACAAGTACACTGTGGCTATTTGCTTGCTACATCGGTCCGACTCGATCGAAAGGGGCACATTTAGTAATTTGCAGACCATACAGTACATAGAATAGCAAACCTTACTACCGGCCTGCTATGGCATCGATGTGGTTCCGCTTTTCGTTGCCACAACAGAGGCACAGCACACAGGCGCATATCCCGTTAGTTAAACATGCATTTACACCCCAACCATTATCATATATAACATATTTTTTTCATTAATGTGCTTACAGGTGTGAGACAAGACCAGGGCCCGAATATATACTCCGGAAGTACCACTTTCCAAATACAACTCACTTCGAGGCTCACCAATATTATTATGAGGACCCGGACTGTACAAACCCTATATACGGTATAACCGCCAGAGGGCTATATAGCATGGTGCAGGGCTCATGGATAGTTCCAGGAGGTACGGAGACTGATTATTTTTTAACAAAAGTCAGCTTGATACCGTACACCAACGAGATGGCACGTGAACTCGGTGCGAGAGTCAACGAGAGTTGCAAGGATTACGCACCGGCGTCATGGCAGCCGTACGAGAGCTATGAGATATTACAATATAAGGAAATAGGAAGTGAAAATGGTGGAGACCCGGATGATTTCCAAGTGATTGACAGGGATTGTACAAATAAGTTTCAGTTCACGATGCATGAGTTGCAACTAATGAGGGTTGAAAACCAGCGGCACCATCATACCGTCATGCGAGAACTGTATCTCGGTGATATACACACTGACAGACTTCAACGTGCCATCTATCGACCAACAAGCTATCAATCTGCACTTGTTGATGGTGGGGTAAGTGTTATGTATACGTTTATAGCATATTCGTAAACAACCTACTTCAATGATTACATTAAAGCCTCTCGCCTTAGAGCAAAATGTAAGAAATGCTTTGTTGCCATGAGTTTGCATAATAAGGCCTTGATGGTTTCTGATGAAGACACAAATAGTATAAGATCAAGGATGATATATGTTTCACATCATTTCTTGGAAAGGGACATTGGTCTAGTTGGCCTACTACACCCATCCCTCTGTTGCTCTTTCCATAATGCACCCTTGAAAAACGCCTACGACAAAGCCTACGACATTAAATCATAAAGAAAATTATTTTTAGATCACGTTTAAAAAATAATGTCATTTGCTGCCCCATATGTTCTAAGAAAAATGCGTGGTTAGGGGATAGGGTGAAACCTTGGGATAACCTTTGACATTTAAGTGATTTTTACTTGTTTATTTTAATCTTTAAATTCAACTTAATTGTATTCAAAACGCACCGAACTACATTTCATTGAGTGCATATTTTGTATCTATTCGCTTGAGCGTGCATCTATTAATCACATCACATTCTTTCATCATCTTACTACCTCTGTCAAATATAATAAAAAGTTAACAAAAATAATAGTTTTATTACCCATTGATTGTACAATATTATGACATTGACTCCGTATCTTGGTAACACTAAATAAAATGTTAAGTTAGTTTTGTCACCTTCATATTTTATGACACAAAATTAGGTTAAAAAATTGGTCCTCTTCAACTGACAAAAATCAACCACAGCCGAGGTACATTATTAGGTTTTTATCATTTCGAAAGGTACTAAAGCAAAACACAAATGCCATTTGCAATGGTCCCTGAAACACATTCCGCATGAAATTAAACCAACATAAAACCAATTCCTGAAATAAAAATCTAATTTTAGTTCATCTAACTCAAACATCAAAGGAAAACTTTCCATAGAAAAATTCAAAACTACACCAAATGTTGCATCCTAATGCAGGTTTTATCAGACCACATTACCAGGATGACTTGGATTTAATTTCTATGTATTTTGATGGTTTTACCAATACCCATAACAATTTATTGTGGTTGAACTCTATGACATGCAACGATACATTTGAGCTATCCAGACTTTATCTCATTAAATCAATGGAAAATTGCTTTTCGATGTTTCTTTTTGATCTCAAAAATCCAAAAGTGTATCTTATTTAAAACCATTGTTACTGATACGGTATCGAGATATACAGATTCAGAACTGTATTTGTTTGATCGTCGCTTACTCCATGACTCTAAATAAATGTCTTAGAAAAAAATTACAAGATATTTTCAGTATGAACGAAAGGTCTCGGCACCTGATAAAGGCAAGTAATTTAATACCTCCAGATAAATATTTGCTCCATAAAAATGTTGTGAAAAGTAGGTATTTACTGTAGCATAAATTGTAACTCTCAATAGGTTGTTCTACCAGCTAGCAGAACACTAATCCCATTTGATTCATTTAATGAATAGATAATTCTCCAGAAAATAAATATATATTGTTCAAGCTACTCAAAACATGCAGAGTGAAAAAGTCTTTCAATCTGTGAATAGTTCCGTAGTCTTTTGTGGTTTCATTATAGAAAGAATTTCAACTTGTCGTTTTTTGAAATGAGATCGAAAATAAAGCCTAAGGCTGTGTATTGACAGTAAATAACTCCTCGAACCATTGAAATATCACCTAGTTAATCAAACTTTCACTATTATTCAAAAGTTTGAAACTTGTTGACTCTACCCGTTGTTTTTGGTTCAATTATTTTCAATCTAACCGCAGGGTTTGAAGGCCCGTCTTTTAAAAGGTCACTCGGGTTTATTTTCATTAATCAACTGAAATATGTTGCGACCATCTGAGTTCATTTCTATAAATCAAACGTTTCTGAATTCATATTTTGGTATTTTAACCATCTTGGATCATTGACGACTTGACATCAAATATCGGTGCTGAAGTAAAGCCAAATATCTTCATCAGCCTTAGTTCAAAGACGCAAATTGTTTTCTTTTAATTTGTTGATACAATAAGAAACCCCTTTGATATAATGCATGTTGAAATAATAATATTTCGGAAATTATGATCACATTTTTGAATGGATAGGTTAAATCAGAAAATATGTAGAGTGGGTGTAAGAGTGCAACCCTGGTTTGGAATTACAATTATGAAGGAATCTTTTTGATTTTGACTGAGATAATCAAGTGTTCAATTGGGATACGATGAAGTTCTCATAAAGCAATTTACAACTTAGATATATCAAGTTAAAGCATCCATCCAGTAGATGCTGTCTCATCAAGTACTTCAAAATATATCTTAGCATCAAGATTACATCGAGTACTAGTGATTCTGGCATAATCATGAAAAATCATGTTGTCACTGACCTTGTTTTGGAAACATACTTGACTTTGATAAATTTTCATAATCAATAACCAAAAGCTTTTATTAAAACCAGTATGCTTTGCCCAAAAGAGCTGTCACACACACAATGCAGCTTCTTGAGAATGTTATTCACTTCGCCACCCATGTAATTTATAACCGAAAGGTGTTCCAAAGTTAACTGTTTCGAAATCCGATTGCTGTTTTTTGGTGTAAGATGTTCACGGGTTTCGCCCATTCTGAAAAGAATTATTTTTTGATTGGTCATTAATAATAGCATCCGACGTTAACCTTTTGATTTGGGATCCTGAATAGGCGGCGTCACAAACACCCTTATCAATAAAATAGTATTTATCACGACGTTAATGATGATCTATCTGACATATTTGTGCTCACATTTATGATTCAGTTATCATTTCCATAATCATTTGGCAACAACTTTATGCAAGCAAAGATTATAATTATGATCATTTTCATATAGACATATACATTTACGAGAATGCTGAGTACGACATCTTTTTAAGATATTATTGTAAATTTTTAAAAGCTCTTAATTTTCTAACTTTGCATTCTCAAATCCTAATTTCTATTCTGAAATATTTTTTTAAAATAATATGCTTTGGCCCAATTCAGAAAATAGATATATAGATTTAATTTGATAGAACTGAAATACTGACTTCATAATGTTAAGTTATATACATTCGTGTTCTTTACTATTTCAGACGCTGAAATGCAAGGTGTGTAACAGTATAGAGAACTCAGATGATTTCTACCCACCTCATCTTACTCGCCAGTATCGTTACAAATCTATAGACCTCACTGGGGAATGGTTCAGTTTGAACTGCGAGACAAGGCCCAACGGAATGTTCCTTGTGCGAAGGTTAATGTTTTCCAACCATACTTCAACATGGCAGGGGTATTACTACTATTACATCGATCCCCTTTGTCGTGAACCCTATTTTACGATACTAGCCAAAGGGACCTACACGAGGGGTAGTGTCTCTAAAGTTGTACACGAGGCAACAAATTTTAATTTCAAAGTCTTGACTGTTCATATTACCCCAGAGGATATTAAAGCAAGTAATACGCTTAACAATAACAATGGAGAAGAGTGTGGAACGAGGAGGTGGGAGACAGGGATACAGCAAGACGTTACTCCGACAAAGGGTTGTCGGGTGTTCGGTATTTCAATACCATTTACAGAATACGAGATCGCTAAAGTTGAAAAGCGAAAAGACTCAAAGACTTTGCTGTATCTGGGTCAAAGGCCAAGTAATGGTGCGAGTCCAACAACTCCTGAACTTCGCCCCACATCATTTCAGGCTCCAGTTGTTAAGTGTGGACATTCACACCATCGTCATAATAAGAATACAAAAATAAAACTATATAATGTACCAGCACAGACATTTTTCTATGACAGCAACAATTGTATAAAAGCATTGATATCCACGAGGCTTTTGATAGCACTGACGATTTCTGTATTTCTTCTTGGTCACCACTGAGCATTATTGGTAGCTTAACTATTATCAAACTGAGATACCAAATCCTATACCCTGATAATACTCATTGACAGTATACTTGTGATCGTATCACTTCATATATAAGTGAGGATTTTGGCAAGGCTCAAATCTGTACCCTGTATTGTTTATGTTGATGATCGCCAACACGTGTTTAACTGTGTAAATTGTCATATAGAACATATAATCTGAACTGTTCATTACCTCAGTAGTTTAGCATTTACAGTATTTCTTAATGGCACATTTTAATCAGTTATTCCAATACTGTGAGAGATGTTGAAAAAACAAGTTTGGTCATCTAGATGCTACATTGTAAATATTGTACATAAACAGAGATGAAAATATGACATTATTACGATATAAAAATGTAAATACTTTTGTAAATATAAAAATGTAAATACTGTAAATGTAATAAAGCCATACTTAACGTGTACTCGCAAATATAAATTATCTTGTAATTTCATGATTATTACTTTGAATAAATATAGATTGAAAATGATATACTACAAGATCCGTATGAAGTTTTGATGCTTGATGTGATGACTTTTTAAGAAGAGTTGCATCTTTGTGCAATAATAACCAATGGAATACTGTAGCAAAGTAATAAAAGACCTTTCCAGTAAACCTTGCCACATTACGCTACATTAAAGAATCTAGTATATGTTGGCTAGATTATGTACTAGGTAACAACCTTTCAGATCCAAGGGAAATGATTAACTAATTTTGAAATCTAAGAGTATCGATTGTAAACACGACTAACGTTATGACATTTACCTATGACATCATCAATCTAGCTATAATATTTCCTCAAGTCGAAAGAGTTATTTGTAGGTCTATTAAATTAAAGATAAATCAAAACAAATGCTGGATTGACTTCGAAATTGCTCTACAGAATCCTTATAATGTTAACTTGCAAACAATGAATATTTACAATAGTCATCAGATATGTAACATAATACGTTGATGATACACCATCCGTTTTGCTAGAAGCAGTTCGCCAATCATAATTATGACAGGAAATTTTGTTCTGGGCAATCAACACTATGAAAACTGTGAAACATAATTATAACGTTCTTAATTAATATTACATAGTATAGAATATCCCGAAGCAGTCATACCATTACATGATACAGATTATATTAAATGAGGTATAGGCGAACGCACGGGTTTGGATATTAAAAAATTTAGAGAATGTGGACCTGAAATATTACAATGGCAAATCAGTTATTATATGCCGGACTATTAATTCTCGGACTTTATTGCGTAACGGAGGTAGGAGCCGACTTTTACGGACGTAAGTTATCAATTATATATACGTATAGGCTCATTTATTTATATATCGCACAAAACTATTTTCATGTAAACTATTAGTATATTGTTAATGAATTTGTAACTCCACACCTCGCATGACACAGAAGTATTATCTTTGATGGTAGCAGACCGTCCCGCAGACCGTATAGTTCACGTTTGTGTGGCTTATTCGCATGTATTGGATTAAGTCGAAATAATAGCCTATAGATAAAAAATATCTTATTTCTCTAGAACTTGTATGACGGAAATATTTTTCAACACATTTCCTTTTTATACGGAATGGTAGGGAACATGTGTTGGCTGATGAAATATGATGCTTTCACCCCGCTGACAAATCTTTGACAAATTCTAGAAAATGTTTAACGTGCATTTGTTATAGCATGTACTACCAACTCATGCGGTACAAATGGAGCATGTACCGGGGATAACTATTTCCATTACTGTGTGTGTTCTGGAAACTTTACTGGTAGCAGATGCCAATACGGTAAGTAAATATTTAAATATCTCGTAAGCATTTAGAAAAAATACCAAATAGTGAGACTCAAGACGCCTTCCCGAAGGACTATTATTGTCACCGGTTACACTGGCTAAGGGGGAATCTTATAAGTTAAACCTCTTATTTATAAAAATCAGTATCCAATTCGTTGTAATGGAATTGCTAATTACGAAATAGATTCATAATACATTTTGTCATGAAGCCAATTGAAAGTCTATTTAACAACGTATGCCCAGATAAACGAGTCCCCAAGCAATACATTAGACAATTTTGACGAAAATGCTCAGAGTACCATATTGCTATCATAGATGTATATAGATAAGTAAAATCTAGTTATAGAGAACTAAACTGAAAGACAAAATATTAAAAAATAAATTATGGTTCACCAGTAATCATTGTAGTGTTACCAGTGGGGGGAAACTATATTACCGATTTAAATTACCGATTGCGAGGAGATTGGGCAGGACAGTCCCAAATGGAATGTCAGGAACCTTATAGCTCTGATTGCCACCCACCCAACTCCCTCCACGTGGTCAAAAATTAGTACTCAATTTTCATTAACAACCTATGATGTTCCATTTCAGATACGAATACATTGTGTTCCAACTATTGCCAAAATGGCGGATCGTGTAGTGTGACGCTGAAGGGACTTGTATGGTGCCAGTGCCCTGACGGATTCCTGGGGCAGCGTTGTGAAACAAGTAACCATTCATATTCTGGCGTTGTTTTCTTCGATTTTGCTTAATTAATAGAAATGCAATTTACAGTATAACTATTGACGATAGGTGAACTCATTGAGAAAGGCCGACATCCCTCCATGATCTTTATCTCAATAGTATGTGATATACCGGATAGATTATAGATTTTGATATACGTACTGTATGGATGATCCACATAGAAACTGATTCAAGGAAAGACAAGAATATATTTCCGTTATCTTGTATTGTACCCCTATTTTGTTCCCTTTGATATGGAGATGAAATGGGATAAAAAATAGAGTAATAACGTAATAGTAGGAACCCATGCGTGACAAAACGGCGGATTCATACGTGACTTGAACTCCCCGAGTGGTTATAGCCAGTAAGAAAGCACAAATCGAATGTGCACACATGTAAGTTCTGAGACCGAATGATTTCTTTTTCTAGATGCCACAGATCCATGCTACAAGGCACCGTGTCTCAACGGAGGTACATGTATAGGAACCCTGGGATATTCATATTGCTCTTGCGCAACTGGATTCCTGGGAAGCACCTGTAGCGTCAGTAAGTAAGAATTGTTATTCCAGATGCACCGAAAGTGACAAAAAGTAGAGCATAAACGGCATACAATTTCATTTATTTTGATGCTTTTCAAGTCACCTGCTGGCACTGGCGGATCAAGAAGCTAGCAAAAAAAATTAAAGGCCCATTTTTGATAATAATGCCCAAAAAGGCCCACTTATGGAGGCCCTCCAAAATTTTGCTGTAATTTGAAGATCATTTGTCTTTTGACAAGTAGACGCTCAAGATGAGAATGTTGCAATATTGCAATGAAATGTGGAAATGAATCCTCTTACTAGTTCAAATGTTTATCATAATGATTCTTACGTATTCAAGTTTTTCCCTAATATTTATACAGATGGTACTGCAATTTGTGACGGTTACTGCCAGAACTCTGGAACCTGCCAAGTTAGCGAATATGGACATCCTTCTTGTTGGTGCGCAAAGGGCTTCTTCGGAGATAGATGTCAGAAAAGTAAGTGTCCTGAAGATCTTTGTTTTAGAGTCAATTTTAAAGGTGGCCAATGTTATCCTAATGAATTTGTGGTGTACTTAAAGTATATTGCATTTTAATACTTTGAAAGAAGCAAAATTACGTTTTCGTTACGGAATGCTTTCGCGCCAAATTGTTCAAAATGTAATTTCGGATATGGGTATGTGTATAATTGAAGGAGTTTCTACATTTCTGAGAGGTTCAACTTCAAAAGTAGGAAAGAAATATGTTGTTTAATGGGTTAGTACTATTAAGGCTTATCAAATCCAAAGTATCAAAATGATATTTTAACACAGCATAAAGGACCTTTGTACATTTTTGGTACCTATTTTTACCACAGTTTCTTTTCATGTTCCAGATGAAACTTCAGCGTGCATTAAAGCACCTTGCTTGAATGGAGGTTCCTGTATAGGAGACATTTACTATCACTACTGTGCCTGCCCAGGAGCCTTTAAGGGAAAACGTTGTGAGATAGGTAGGTCTTGTCCCAAGGTACTACACAATCCTTATAAAAATTCAAAAGTGTCAATACTTTTTGAGCAGTTTATTTGATTATGATAAGATGTTAGAAAACATTACGAAATCATAGTAAGTTATATTGCATTTGATTTCAGACACGGTAACGCTATGCACGGGCTATTGTAGCAATGGCGGGACGTGTAAGGTGGACGATTATGGGAACGCCTTTTGCATCTGTCCAACTGGATTTGAGGGTTATCAATGTCAATTAAGTAGGTGATTGCCAATGTTTAATAATATTTCATTTCCGGGAAGAAGATATGTTACTCAAATATGACTATTCCCCTCATTTGTTAATACTCAGTCAGTAATAGATTTCGACGATTCGAGAATTTATTTAGCCACCACACTGATTGCTTTCAGACCGGACTGACCCGTGTTGGGCGCACCCGTGTCTCAACGGTGGCACGTGTATCGGGGACCATTATTACCACTACTGCAAATGCCCAACAAACTTCATTGGAAAAACATGCACTACAGGTAAATTCGTTATTTGATGTGTTAATGGCAATTGAGGCATACTGTTGTTCACGAACCTTCATAAGAAAAGGGAGTTTAAGCTTGCACTGTTTTTCACAACGTGAACGGAAGTTATTTAAGCGATGCATTTGTATGGGTGATTGGTCATACGAACAGGTTGGCGTTTCGATTCTATATGCAAGCTTAAACTCCCTTTAGCTAATGAAAGAGATTATTTCGTTAACGTATGCATGATTGTGTTATGTTTCAGTTTAATCTGTTGTTCGTTTTTCAAATGTTAAAGGTGGCCAGCTATAGTTCTCGCGATAGAATAGAGTATAGTATATGGTACACTCGAATTTGTTGGTCTCTGATGCTACTCGGAGGGTTAAATTTGATAATTTCCAAACGGGTTCAAATTCCTTCAAAGATTGTCCGTACTTTTTAAAACAAATCGTAGCTTAGAACCTTCAAAATTGATGAACATATGCGACTCAATTATCCCATCCCATTTAGGCCTAATGGGTAGGCAGCTCATTTGTAATTTTGTAAGAGGTTGGCGTTGTAATCAATTAGGCTGTTATAAATTAACTTTAAAGTTATCTTTTACCGATTGTAAAAGTCCATAATTCGGAATAAAGCTCAAAATTAGGGATATCGAAATATAATGAAAATACCTTTAAAAGCAAAACATTGCAAAATAAACGTGAACCTGTCATTTTTGAAAAAACATTGAATATCGCGGGAGCTGCAATTTTTGCAAATGTTACTTCACAAAGATTGACTTTGATTGTACATTTTTGCATGTTTTTCAGATGTTTCGGCTGTTTGCACCAGTTACTGTGCAAATAATGGGACATGTAATATAGACAGCCACGGTCGCCCTTACTGCACATGCGCAACAGGTTTCTTTGGATACCAGTGTCAAAAAAGTAGGTAATCATGAATGAAGGTGAACGAATTTAGTGGTCGATTTCAATTCAAATGATTTTAAATCCAGGTTGATTGTGCGTCTAAAATCACGAAAAATGTAATTAGGCCTATTTATTTGATACAACTTGTTGTCTTGACAGTAATAAAACCCATATTTACTGACTCGTCATTTCTTGAAAAAGATCCATCATTAGAACCATCATTTTTGCATATGTCACATAATCAGAATTATTTAGATTATCTTCGAGATTATATTACATTCCAGATATATGAGCAACAGTGAAATTTGAGTACTTTTATTTCAGCGACGGCAAGCCCGTGTTATCCGACGTGTAAAAACGGGGCAACGTGTCAAATGATAGGATACAAGGCATTTTGCCTATGCGCCACTAACTTTACTGGATATTCATGTGAAATAGGTAACCTTGATATCATTTTTTTAAATCATTAATATCATTTTGACTTTTACAATTTTACCTGGCAGATTTCAATTAAGGAATAGAAGGCCGTTGTTCCATTCTTGATACTTTCCATTGAATCGATTATTTGCAAAATTGTTTTTAAATGTACTTGATCGTATAGAAATCCAGCAAAAACATAAAGTATAACTTAAAAAAAGTATATTTTGTAAATTGTTAATATGATTATAAATTCATGTTGTATTCGTATACTTTATGACTCTTCAGCTACTGCTTAAATACAAGTATAAAAATAAAATAAGTCACGAAAAATGGAACACCCTGAAGTTATAGGGATAACTATTACATAATCAATCTCGATGGTCGGGTGAGTTCTTGCTTGTGCACTTTCAACTCGCCAAAAAGACTTTGTCTTAGCATTCAGATTAAAAGATACATTTGTGTTGACTACAAATGAATAATTCTAAAAATGAAACTAAAACAATTTAGTTTTTTAGATTCCTCGGCAATTTGCACGGACTATTGTCAGAATGGGGGAGTTTGCACAGTCGACTTCAATGGTAAACGACACTGTGACTGCCCAGTCAACTTCTTCGGGTACAGATGTGAAATAAGTACGTATTTGCTCAGAACACACGTTCGCTTAGTTGGATAACTTCAAGATATGCTTGCGCATGTCGCATACTGAGGCCCGGGTATACTGTCATTAATAAAAAAAAATCAGTCTTATCCTTATCCATTAAGCTTATAAAAATCAGTCTTTATATAATATACATGTATACACCACGCATTAACAACTCGGTACACTAGCGGACATTTTAAACATTTTTTAACGTATTCCTTGGCGGTTAATTGTTGGAAAATTAATACATTATTATAAGAGAGCTCCTTTAAACATCTATTTTAAAATCATCTTAACTGTAATAACAGCCGATGTGATAAAACTGGCAACTGGGTGATTTCAGATGCTACTGATCCGTGTTACCAACATCCATGTGAAAACGGGGGGACATGCATAGGAAACCTGTATAACCACTACTGTTCTTGCGCCACTGGATTTACAGGCAAAACCTGTAGTTGTAGTAAGTATATTTAGTAGCTATTGTATTCTAGGGCGTTTCATCAGCATTTTGTAGCTATTTTTGTGTCCTATCATTGACGACAATGATTTTGATTTTAGATTCAACATCAATCTGTGATTCCTACTGTCAGAACAATGGCACCTGCCACACGGATTCATTTTGCCATCCAAAGTGTCATTGCGCGTATGGCTTCAGTGGCTACAGATGTGAAAACAGACACCATGGTAGCAGTTACGGACACAGTAGTCATGGACACGGACACAGTAGTCATGGACACGGACATGGAGGATACGGGCACAGTAGTCATGGACACTTTCATCACCACCATGGTCACGGCGGGCACCACAGCGGGCATCACGGCGGGCATCACGGCGGGCATCATGGTGGGCATCACGGCGGACATCACGGACACCCTGTTATCTTTGTTTACGGTCACGGGAAGAAAAAGAAAAAGTAGAAAATGCCAGTTGAAACGTTCATATTTGCTGTCTCATACAGTTTAATTTAAAATTGATACTTGTTATTGCAGTCACAAAAGTTGGAAATGGAATAAACAAATTGACCATAAGAGGGCACTGTCTCTGTCAAAATATCATTAATATTTGTATATAATATTCACATACACGATCGATATAATGATAGGGACCACTCAAAAGACAATTTAGTATACTTACTATAATTAGATGTCCCAGACATGCACCTTTCTTTTAACCTACTATATATTGGAAATGTTGACATTATGTGATTTTTTAGAAATATCTAAACACTACATGTTGTTAATGTTTCCCCGAATATTGTATATCAAATAAGAAGTTATTAATGGTGTCCCATTTTGAAAATTATAAGTGTTGAAAAATCCAGATAGGTACAATTTAACACAAAGGCCTATCATAGATAAATACTCCTACCCTAACTATCGACATAAAGTGAGGTATTCTTTATTGATTTTTACAGCTGTCCAAAATAGAAACTTCATATCAAAATGTCTAGTGTGTAACAAGAAAACCAGTAAAACAAAGAGGATGTTCCGAAAAAATATAGACCACTTTATTTCACCATGGACCGCGATTTCCGATAAACCATAGGTTTTGGGCCGATATAAAGATTGCAGAATGGTAGCATTATAAAGAGTATAAATAAACACAGATTGATTAGACTGCCCTCTTTATTTCAAAAGTATTTCTATTGCCAATCAGCCTTTGATATAAACCACCACACATTAAGATAATACGGATGGGTCCCGCTTCACGACAAACGAAACAGTCACCTGCCCAGAGAAAAGTACCAGGAAAATTCGTATTATCAGAAAACATCCAGGCTATACTGTAAAGAAATGTAAACGATTTAAAGCAGTATTGTTTTCATAATACAATTTATTCTGAAACTTTAAAAATGGTATATAGATGTCTTGCAATACTGAAATTGTCCTGGATAAAGTCATTTACAAAAAGTTATCATTTGATGAGATAAAATACATTATAAAATACATAGATCATGTAACATATGGATCAGCGGTAGGTGTGATGATCAACCGTTTGATTTGAATCCTAATAAATGATCGTACTTTGGATCTTTCACAGTTAGTCTAGTGTATATTTAATCAAGTTCAAGTGTTAGAAAAAAGGTGAGATGACATTTTATAGTTAATAAACCTACCAACGCGCTTTGTTGGACTTTGATCAGTTTAACTGTAAAAAACATCTGCACGGTATTTCTTTAGGGAGCCAACACAAATACATGGATCAGACATGTCGAGAAATGTAACAGGTAAGACTCTACTGAAAATCTCAAATCTCAAATTATCATAAATTAAGGTGAAAAAAAAAAAAAACATGTCCGGTAAACCAAATAATGAGAATCATATTAAACCGTCAAGTCAAACGTTTCTCAGTCTCAGAACCATATGGTGATAATTTTTGAAAAAATAATCATCCGATTTGTAAAATTTCATTTTAGATTTGCATGAAACCACATTTGGTGAAGCTGAAGTTGATGAGTTGGGTCAGGGGATCAAGCATGATCCTGCTGAAGGAAAAGACCTCTTGGGTGAGTCAAAAATCTAGATCTGCATCTGAGATCATAGATATTGTATTCTTACTAAACGGATTATGGTGCCTAACCATAGTTCGAAGTCAATTCAATAGCTCATCGAAAGGCAAAAGTAAAATCAAAAGTACCCCACCAGGAATTCGAATAGTTATATCTGGTAAGTTCAATTCAACAGGTCATCAAATGGCGGCACAATTAAAGTAAAACTAAAAGTACCCAATCATGAATTCTAACCATGATTGTCACAATTTTCAGGGATGATTCCTTTTGAAAATTATGAGCTTTTGGGGTTTTCTGGGTGAATGTTAGTAGCGGCCATTTTGGATTCTCATTCTAAATCTTGTAAACATCTTGCTCCCACTCAGTAACTGCGATGTTTGACATCTCCTCTAAAAGATCATTAATGTATAGGATCTCATTATAATAATGCTTACCATTCATAGTGTTTGTGTTCATTGCTTTAAAACCATTTTAGATGAAACTAGTGGTGGTGAAGTTTCTCCGGACTTCTATGACTTGGGACAGCGGATCAAGGCTGTTTCAGAAAGCAAAGATCTCTTGGGTAAGCTTCTTCATAAAGGAGAGCAAAGTACACTTGAACAGTGTTGAAATGACTCTTATTCATCCCTAGGACCTGTACCAAAGGTTGTGCGTCAAATATCTGGTCTAATATGATTGTCTACTATAAGTATACATATCACTGAGAATATGGGTTGATTGGGACAGTAGGAAGAGAAGGAAGAAAAGTGTGTGTGATGGATGCCAGTCTGCCATAGGACAACCCCTCCAAGAAAATGTTATAATTATCTGTTACAAATATGGCACAACCATTCACAGTACACACTGTAATTTTAACGTTGTGAGCAAATATCATACAATCCATAATTTCGCTCACCCAAACATTGAAACTGGATAAAACAAAAAGGTCTTGTTGAACAACGATAGTGTTGTGCATGTAAAGAGTGACAAATTTAAACAGGAAAAGACTTATTTGTTTAATGGTAATAAGTAGTTAATTGGTGAACCTCTTCCAAATCAAAAGTAACAGGAAAATGTAACTGTATGCCATTGAACGATCAAGAAATGGCACTTCAAATACTGCGTTGAGTACATGCACTTGGGGTTGAGTTAAGCAAACGTAAAACAATCAATATATCTATCAAACGTAGATAGCTATTTAAACAACCAAACTTCCGCATCCATCTTTGATAACGTATACATTTTAACTATGATTCATACTTTTTGTAGGAGAGTCGAAACTCCTCCAACAACTAGGTGATAAATACTTGGAGTTAGCAAGTAGGTCACGTGAGGGTTGGCACTATGTCATGGCATGTGGACTGTTCAACAGTGCTAGGTGCTGCATCGATAAGTTCTCCACAATAAACCCAACAGCAGCCCAGGATGAACTCCAGAGTCTGAGAGATGACCAAACTAAAGCTATTGATCAGGTAGAAAACTTGTATATTACACAACAAGTGGGAGTGGGAGCTATCCCAGAACACGATGTCCCCAAAGGTACATACAAATCCAGGCTTACCCAAATCAGAGAATATTCAAGGAATTCAACTGACCATATACAAGTTTTCATGAAAGTAGACATGAGTTCTGCTGATATGGAAAAGGAGGATGAAGTCAAGACTATCGAGGCATCAGCGAAATTCTACAATGAGTTGACGGAAAAACTGAAACAGTTTTACAGAGGGCTCCTTGATGACTGTTATGCAGTACTGGGTAAGCCATCTTGCAAGTATGCCATATTAGGTCTCGGGTCACTTGCAAGGCAAGAGGCCACTGCATGGTCAGATCTGGAATCCGCAATTCTATTCGATGATACCAACAAATCAGAGGATGAAATCACAAGCACCAAGACCTATTTCCGCACCTTGTCCCACCTGTTCCATATCAAACTAATCAACCTTGGTGAAACCATCCTTCCGAGCTTGTGTATACCAGTCCTGAATGATTTCAACAAAGAACTGCCAGCAGGTTTGAGAAACAATGAGTACTTTGATGATGTGACACCAAGTGGGGTTTGCTTTGATGGTGCCATGCCTTGGGCCAGCAAGACTCCACTGGGAAGGAGGGAGACTGATACCAAACCGCCATTAGAACTGACCATGACTGCCAGGGAACTTGCTACACAGCAGAAAGAAGATGCATGCATGAAAGAAGGTTACCACCTGGCAGATGTACTGATGTCAACAACATTAATAGATGGCGACGGTGAATTATACGATGAATATAACAAGACCGTTAACGCAATCTTACAATCACCATCAATGCAGGATCCCACTATGACTGTCGCCAGGTTCAGAGGAATCCAGACATTCATTGACGATGCACTGAAAGAACAACAGAAAACTCTTCTTGGTTCACTAAACATGGTTCTCAGTGCAAAAAAAGACATTTATCGCTTTGCAACAATGTCTATAAACTCACTAAAATTGATTCATGGGTTATCATCTACTTGTCCATTAGATATATTAGATGAACTGGTTGAAGTTAAGAAAATCTCAGAGTCTGCTGCTCAAGATCTGAAAATCATGGTGTGCATTGCCATCAACCTTAGACACAGTGTGTACGCGAAAAAGAATCGGCAACATGAGCTGATTTCGTTTACAAAATCATTGGAAGATTCGACAGGAGAGTCACTCTCTGTACGTGATTACACTGCTGTCTACCGGTTTTTGTTCACATTCACACTATGGTTCGAAGATATATGCTACAGACAAATACCTAACCAAGCATTTGATCTTATCTTCCCTAGGTACTTTGACAATAGTAGTTCGATGAAAGCAATGATTCATAAGCACATGAATTACTTTGACCTTGCATTGGAAGCACTCTTTAAGGGAGAAGAAGAGGCTTTAAAAGACAATAACAAAGAATTACTTTTCGAGATCTGGTACGGAATAGGGTGTATGCTTCAAAGCATGGGAAAAGATACAGATGCTCTGCATTATCTACACAAAGCATATGATGTATCACAAAATACCATTCACGGTAGTAATATAGCATTGTTCGCAAACCTGTGCCATACTATTGGTGACATTTACATAAAAAGAAGAGAATTTTCATACGCCTTCAACTTCACACAGCAGGCATATGATCTAACATATAAGGGATTTAGGTCGCATCCACGAATTCGAAAAATATTGCATAGCAGGGCTGTATTATCGCAGCACATTGGAAATTCGGAGGAAGCAATAAGGATCTCACAAATGGCTTTAGAGGAAGACAAAAGGATTAACCAAAATAAACCATGTTTAGATGTGGTTTATTCCTTATATACTCTTGGACATATTTACCGAGAAACGAGAAATTACCAGCAAGCTCAAATATACTTTCAGGAGGGCCTCGAAATAATAAATGACATCATGAAAGATGTTCCTCATATACTGAAGGCAATGATATACCATGACATGGCAATAAGTTGGCATGGACTACAAGACTTTCCTAAAGCATTAGCATATTGCCAGAAAACCATCAAAATGTATCAGGAAGTTTATCACAACATCCCTAATGAAAGGATTGCTGCTACATTCTTAATGGTGGGTCTAGTGCTTGAGGACACAAATAGGCATGTTGAAGCAATGGACAGTTACCGAAAAGCTTATGAGATGAATAACGCGTCAAATCAAAATAGGCCACATCCAACAACAGCAAGTATATTGAACAAGATCGGAACTCTTTATAGAATCAAGAAGGATTACGAGAGTGCACTTAACAATCATGAAATGGCATTAAAAATGTTAAAATTGATTTTCCAAGAAAGACCCAATCCTATTATCGCCACCACCATGACGCTCATTGGGGAAGTCCACAGGGAGAATGGCTCGCCAGAAATTGCTTTGATATGGCATCAAAAGTCTAAAGAGATATACGAAAAGGTATACCAAGGTCGTTATCATACTGATATTGCAGGAGTGTTCAAATGTATTGCCATCGCATTCATTAGTATGAAGAAATATCAGGATGCAAAACTAAATTTTGAAGAAGCCTACCAAATATTAAAGCGTGTCCACAAGGATTCCCCAAACATGGATGTAGCAAATGCACTGCATGGCATGGGTGTTATCCATCATGATATCGGAGAGATTGCATCTGCACAAAAATATTATGAAATGGGTTTGAAAATGCAAAAGGAGGTCTATCGAGATTCTCGACACAAGGACATAGCTATCTCTCACATCGGCTTGGCAAAAATCGGGGAGACGAAACCCAGACTTGTACACTTATTTGAAGCAGATCGAATCTTGAAGTCAATGTTCAAGGATGACCCTCATCACCTGAAGGCTGAAGTGTTACTAATGATTGGACTAATCTATGAAAACTTAAATAAACCAGAGGCTGCCTTGAGAAATTTAGAACAAGGAATAAAAATGTCGCAAATATGTAAACACAAAAGACTTGAAATTTGGGTGAAACAGGCCTATGATACAATGCTGAAGATCTATAAATCAAGAAACGATGTAGATAAATGTATAGATATTGCCTGTGCGATGAAATCTTTAGAATTAAAGTAACGTGTAATAAATCACTTTTGACACGATCTTTATCTTCATAAAATATTGTTTCCCATGTTTATAAGTTCATGGATGACTGAGTGTATCCAGGCGTATATGCGGGTTGGGCAAATATTACAGAAATATATTCATCCATACGTTTTCCAACTAAAAATGTAGAAATGAAGACTAATAAGTACTTGTAAATAGTATGATATAACTATTTTACACTTCTGTCTCGATCGCCTATTCCGATACTAGCTACAACCCTGTACGTTTCTATATCATCAAGATGTCTTGTAAGCATCAATGACTGAATGGATTAGGTGGATCTGAGTGATAGAAACCGCAAAATTATTATTTTCATTGTTCACTCTATAAGTTATGCAAGTTATGATGAGTGTTTCATCAATTTTTTATTTGACTTCTCATCATGTTTCGTTTCTTCCAAGCCCTGAGTTTGATGTTGTTATACAAAAGTACAGATAGTATGGAGTTTGCAGTTCTCGTCAAGTTTAAAATAAAATTGTAATTTTGGCTAACAAAAGGATTCAATAAATATCTTCCAAACCGTCCAAATCACTTTATTTGTGTTTTTATTAATGATCAAAATGAAAACAAGACACGTGCATGGTTAACAATATCGCACCATTGAACATAAATAATATTTAATAAAATATTTATTAGATATGAAAAAGAATTAATACACCAAAGACCGTTTTATGGATTGATCTGAAAATTCTAGTTTGGCCGGAATCCTTTAGACAAACCTTGACAGACAAAATTTTAGGACAGAAAATCCAAAATGGCTGACTTAACATTTACCAAGTATGCCTAAAAACTAATCAGTTCTAAACGTTGATATGTAGAAACATTCCTGAAAATTTCAGATGAATCCCTGAAACGGTTTGATAGAAACCTTTAGAAAAGCTTCAACAGTTTTGGGACGGAAAATTCAAAATGGCTACCTTTACACTTAACCAGAATGCCCGAAAACGAATCAGTTCTAAACTTTTATACGTAGAAATGCATCCCTAAAAAATGCAGATGAATCCATGAAACGGTTTGGCTGGAGACCTGTAGACTAAACAAGCTTCGACAGACAAGGTTTTAGGACGGAAATTTTAAAACGAATCAGTTCTAAACTTTCATACGTAGAAACATCCCTGAAAATTTGAGACGAATTAATGAAACGGTTTGACTGGAATCCTTTAGACACGCCTCGACAGACAAGATTTTAGGATGGAAAATCCAAAATGGCCGCCTCACGCCTAACAATCGCGTAAGGGGACAGCATCTTTTCCAATCGCGTAAGCAGGCGTCACTGTATAGCGTCAAAAAATACAGGAGTACAGTTTTCTGTACGGTGACGAAAATTAACTGAGTTGAGGCAAAAACTATAATGAGGGGTTAAAAAAATAATTAGATGAAAACCAGAACAACGGCAACGCCAAAGCGTAGCAAATCCCATCGAACAGAAATGGCTGGCATTTTTACAAATATACAGCAAATATCATAAAATAACACACATAAGTAAGGCCACCATTTTCAAAATGGTTGCTAACTAGCCAAGTTGTCATCAGAAGAATTAATATGCTTTTAAGTAGCCACCTATAAATTTTTCAAAAAATCGCACACACGTACATATAAATGGTGGCCATTTTTTTTAAATGGCCGCCTACTACTCTAAATGTCATTAGACAGTATGCAATGCTTATGAGTATTCACATTTCAATTATGCACAAAGTCACTCTATTACTTCAAATACAAAATGTAAAATAACACACATTTTCAAAATGGCCGATGTATCATGTACCATAAAGTATTCACATACCAAATATGAACAAAATCGCTCCACTACTTTTCGAGATATAGTAAAATACGTTAAAATGGCGGCCATTTTTCAAAATGGTGGCCATTTTTCAAAATGGACGACTTCTACCAAAAGTGTCATAAGACAATGTTGTACTGCTGTACGGTGACGATTCCTTAGAATTTATGAAGTGTAATATATGATGTCAGTATTAACTTAAGATTCTATAAGTTTTTGTGTAGAAATTCATATCGGCCCAGAACCTTATTATTTGCTGAATCTTCGCCCGTTCTAAAATCTGTAGTTAACAATTACATATTCTCATAAAAATAATCCATACTTTCAGACGGCAGGGAAAATAATATCCAAAAGAAATGTGAAAAAACAACCTTTTTCACTTGGGTCGATTATGTGAGCCGATTCACTCATAAAAAATCCGAACAGTGCTCGTAAAACGTTTATCATAATTAGAAAGTTAAACCCTTTCTAAGAGAATGCTGTTTTTAATCCACATAAAGTCGTGTTTGTTTTCATCAAATTGATTTTTTAGAACCCTTGTGGTATGAGTACCGTAATCCAACACCAAATTCGAAAATTCAGAACAATACTTTGCACGGCGTTCCTGATCAACTATAAAACGCTTACCCCCATAGTGTTATATATCAAAATGTACCTGTTCATATAGGGGTTCGATTGATCTACATCAAATTATAGGGAGTCAGGTTACTTTTTGAGTATCAGCGTCCATTTATTGTAACTCGCCTTTGCTACCATTTCCTCAATTCTGAGATGACGGGCAAACGCGTAGTAAACACGCTCACGACCTACATCGCTATTTTCGTAATTCAAATGAAAGTTGAACTCCTCCTCTTTATTTTGATACCAAATAGTGGCAACTATGGCGTTATTTAGAACAAAACCACAAGTTTTTTAATGGACTATATAGGGGTCATACCTTTTGGCGGATGGATATGGAACCTCATACCTTGTCATAGTTTTTGCTTCAAAGCAGTCGATTTGCGTCACCGTACAAAAAAAACTGTACTCCGCTATTTTTGACGCTGTACGGTGACGATGGTTAGGCATGCGCCTTAAAATTTAACAAGAAAACCAAAAGCAAATCAGTTTTAAATTTTTATACGTAGAAACATACCTTAGATGAATCCTTCCAACGGTTTGGCTGGAAACCTTTCGACAAGCCTCGACACAAGATTTTAGGACAAAAATCTAAAATGGCCGCCTTAACATTTGCACAGATCAGAATGCCCAAAAACTAATCAGTTCTAAACTTTCATACGCCGCCCGCCTGGCAAATTGATCACAATATAGAACCCAATGGTACGATAAAAATACAGATTGTTGATTATTAATACATTGATTTCATGAATATTCGCTGGCGAGGTAGCAATCATATTTGTACAATTGATTTCAAACTTGCATAAATGCAATCGACTGTGCAGTTTATTTCAAACTGGCATAAGTACATGTTTAGGGATATCTTAATGAAAAATGTGTTTAAGTTCAGGGTGGAAGATAAACTAAGGGTACGTGGATGGCATTGATTTTTCATAAACATTGTTTCTATCACCAGAAGCTTATGATAAGAAGGATTTATAACGGACAATTAGTTATTAGACAATTTTTTAGGTGAATTTAGTTACGGTCCACAATTTGGAACCAGCTGTGATATATGCCATACTGTTAACCCAGTGTATTCCATCATGAAATACCTCGATGGATCAAGATGGATATATCCCATTCTATCAGAAAATTGTAGCCAATAAAATCAAATACGCATATTTCATTGTGGTGTTCAATGCATACGATTGTATTTACGTTTAGTTCACTACAAAAATATTTTTGGGGGACATTATTATGCAGTGTTAAAACCTGAGAAATAGAGTAAAAATATTAACTAATTGATGAACGGTTTTGTTGCAAAAGACAATCATGACAATATAGCAGTTTTCCAAAGTGCAAGAAAGTCTCTTTTTATGAAATGAATCAGCTTTCAAAACCAAATGCTGCGAGCACTGAAATGGATCATCTATGGGGAGCAATTGGTCAGAATGGTAAATAAGAAGTGAATCTCTGCTCTATGCTTCTATGATGTAAAGTACTGGACTAGAAAATCTAAATATGGACTAGATTATCTAAAAAAAAACAGAGCGAGATATCTTCGATTTTCTCTTGTCAAGCACTGGACATTTCTTTAAGACTGGATATAACTACAAGTATCATTCAAGTTCCAAGGCCTAGTATGACACACTGCTTTAAAAACACATAGATTTAACACATCAAGTATGGTATCTGGCTTTATTTACCATGGATTTCATCCATATTTAAATGTATACAGTGAGTGACAATATAAAACTTGGCAATGAGTTGTTGACTATGCACTAGCCAATAGAAAATCCTGTCAATCATTCAAGATACATTCCAGTACTCTAAAACTGATACAATCCTGTTTTTGAATATCAATACATAACAGGTCAAAGTCCACTTTGTCTATAAGTCTTCTAATCCATCTATTCATGTGATCCTTAGGTTGAATATCTATCATTTCCATATAAAGTTTCATTGCTTCTTCTCCTCGGCATATTTGTAATGTAGATCTAGTACATTGTTAGCAGAGACCTTGATCCAACCAGTTTCCTTCATGTGGTACACTGAAATACACAAACAATAACATGTTACAAATAACTAGTTTCATTGCTTCTTCTCTTCAACATATTTGTAATGTAGATCTAGTACATTGTTAGAAGAGACCTTGATCCAACCAGTCTCCTTCATATGGTTCACTGAAATACAGAAACAATAAGTTATAGATCTAGTACATTGTTAGAAGAGACCTTGATCCAACCAGTCTCCTTCATATGGTACACTGAAATACAGAAACAATAAGTTATAGATCTAGTACATTGTTAGAAGAGACCTTGATCCAACCAGTCTCCTTCATATGGTACACTGAAATACACAAACAATAAGTTATAGATCTAGTACATTGTTAGAAGAGACCTTGATCCAACCAGTCTCCTTCATATGGTACACTGAAATACAGAAACAATAAGTTATAGATCTAGTACATTGTTAGAAGAGACCTTGATCCAACCAGTCTCCTTCATATGGTACACTGAAATACACAAACAATATGTTATAGATCTAGTACATTGTTAGAAGAGACCTTGATCCAACCAGTCTCCTTCATTTGGTACACTGAAATACAGAAACAATAAGTTATAGATCTAGTACATTGTTAGAAGAGACCTTGATCCAACCAGTCTCCTTCATATGGTACACTGAAATACAGAAACAATAAGTTATAGATCTAGTACATTGTTAGAAGAGACCTTGATCCAACCAGTCTCCTTCATTTGGTACACTGAAATACACAAACAATAAGTTATAGATCTAGTACATTGTTAGAAGAGACCTTGATCCAACCAGTCTCCTTCATATGGTACACTGAAATACAGAAACAATAAGTTATAGATCTAGTACATTGTTAGAAGAGACCTTGATCCAACCAGTCTCCTTCATATGGTACACTGAAATACACAAACAATAAGTTATAGATCTAGTACATTGTTAGAAGAGACCTTGATCCAACCAGTCTCCTTCATATGGTACACTGAAATACACAAACAATAAGTTATAGATCTAGTACATTGTTAGAAGAGACCTTGATCCAACCAGTCTCCTTCATTTGGTACACTGAAATACAGAAACAATAAGTTATAGATCTAGTACATTGTTAGAAGAGACCTTGATCCAACCAGTCTCCTTCATATGGTACACTGAAATACACAAACAATATGTTATAGATCTAGTAGATTGTTATAAGAGACCTTGATCCAACCAGTTTCCTTCATATGGTACACTGAAATACAGAAACAATAAGTTATAGATCTAGTACATTGTTAGAAGAGACCTTGATCCAACCAGTCTCCTTCATATGGTACACTGAAATACAGAAACAATAAGTTATAGATCTAGTACATTGTTAGAAGAGACCTTAATCCAACCAGTCTCCTTCATATGGTATACTGAAATACAGAAACAATAAGTTATAGATCTAGTACATTGTTAGAAGAGACCTTGATCCAACCAGTCTCCTTCATATGGTACACTGAAATACACAAACAATAAGTTATAGATCTAGTACATTGTTAGAAGAGACCTTGATCCAACCAGTCTCCTTCATATGGTACACTGAAATACAGAAACAATAAGTTATAGATCTAGTACATTGTTAGAAGAGACCTTGATCCAACCAGTCTCCTTCATATGGTACACTGAAATACAGAAACAATATGTTATAGATCTAGTAGATTGTTATAAGAGACCTTGATCCAACCAGTTTCCTTCATATGGTACACTGAAATACAGAAACAATAAGTTATAGATCTAGTACATTGTTAGAAGAGACCTTGATCCAACCAGTCTCCTTCATATGGTACACTGAAATACAGAAACAATAAGTTATAGATCTAGTACATTGTTAGAAGAGACCTTGATCCAACCAGTCTCCTTCATATGGTACACTGAAATACACAAACAATAAGTTATAGATCTAGTACATTGTTAGAAGAGACCTTGATCCAACCAGTCTCCTTCATTTGGTACACTGAAATACAGAAACAATAAGTTATAGATCTAGTACATTGTTAGAAGAGACCTTGATCCAACCAGTCTCCTTCATATGGTACACTGAAATACAGAAACAATAAGTTATAGATCTAGTACATTGTTAGAAGAGACCTTGATCCAACCAGTCTCCTTCATATGGTACACTGAAATACAGAAACAATAAGTTATAGATCTAGTACATTGTTAGAAGAGACCTTGATCCAACCAGTCTCCTTCATATGGTACACTGAAATACAGAAACAATAAGTTATAGATCTAGTACATTGTTAGAAGAGACCTTGATCCAACCAGTCTCCTTCATATGGTACACTGAAATACACAAACAATAAGTTATAGATCTAGTACATTGTTAGAAGAGACCTTGATCCAACCAGTTTCCTTCATATGGTACACTGAAATACAGAAACAATAACTTATAGATCTAGTACATTGTTAGAGAGACCTTGATCAAATCAGTTTCCTTCATATGGTACACTGAAATACACAAACAATAAGTTATAGATCTAGTACATTGTAAGAAGAGACCTTGATCCAACCACTTTCCTTTATATGGTACACTGAATTACAGAAACAATAATATGTTTCAAGTACAGGGAATGAATAACTCAATGATCAAGCTTTAAGTAACCATTGAGATCAACTTTGTAAAAACAATGTTATTTGGTAAACACCTTATTACTGTATCACAACCATGTATCATGAGTGCTAAGAATTAGTGACATGCTAAAAGATATTTTGCACCATTAAAATTTAGACCCGAGGAACAGACCTGATATGACCCACCTATAGCTGATATTCAAGAGGGTTATGACATGACCACCCCAGGTGTAACACAACTGGATAATGATGTCACCCACACCATGTTTACAAAAGGATTATGATGACAATCACTTACTATTAACAGTGCCACCACTGTAGGCATCTCTGTGCGTTGCATGATAGATGGCTCTCTCCCCAAGCTGATATGCATCCTCTACTGACATGTCATAGTTATACCCACTATCTAACACACCATATGCGTATGTAGATCCAGAACCCACGGAGAACATATCGTTGGTTAGCCTTGTTCCATCACTGTCAACGTAGTACAGACCTGGCCCCTGAAAACAATAATTTACAGTGTAGAACAAAATCAGATAATAATTTCGATTGTTTTTTAATTCTTTTCTGGCTTTAAACTGTGTTTTCATAATCCTTAATAAAAGTTTGATCATAAAAATGCTCTTAATAAAATAAAAATCTCTTACCCTCTTGTCCCAGCCACAGATCATCGTCCCCTAAAAATATGAGGAGGAAAATTCCATAATTCAAACACGACCTTTTGTACAGAGGTTACCACTACCTTTTCAATCCTTTTGTACAGAGGTTACCACTACCAGATATAATTTTGGTTGTGTTTTTCCAATGATGTCATTTGTCACAACAATATGATAGTAACTTAGTCAGAATGTGTTTTGTGGATTAAATGTACATAAAGATACAGAAACTGGAGATGTTACATTTTAACAATCATTTGGCAATTTCAAAAGACAAAAATTAGTGTCAAAGTATTTCTGAATTATTGTGAAGTCGACCAAAGATTCTTTAACTCGTCATTTGAAACAATGATACAAGTTTTTCAACAAAGTACAAAAGAACAATCATGTAAAACAAATTGGTGTGATATCATTAAGGAATACAAGATTTCGACCCATGTAGCTTAACAATAGTGGTTCACCTACCATAGAAAGCCCCATTCCTTTGTAGTTGTACACAATATTGGCCAACAGTTTAGAGGCAGCGGCTACTGAGATCCTTTCTTTGTTACGTAACTCATGAATTCTGAAATAATACATCTTTTACTAAATTGGGGAATTGCATATGAGATAAAATACTATAAATCATGAATCAGAAGTTAATTACATAGATGAAAGATTTTGAAAGTAGATGTCAAAACATCCACAAAGAAATTACACCATAAGGCATGATAATTCCTATTCTAATTCGAAGATAAATAACAATTATATTTGTGCATTCTGATCTATAACAATTATTTCAACATTGGTGCAGCTGCACTGGTGTCGCAAAGTGCATTTCATGGATCATCACCTAATCCAATTTAACACCAGCTGTATGAATAGTGTAAACATACCTGCATTGTTTTGCAAGAACTCTCTCCCAGTAAGAGCAATCTGCTGCACCCCCAGCCATTGTACCAAGTAGATAAGGGTTGATCTCTATCACCTTCTTCACAGTCTGAGAAGCTGCAATGTTAAAACACATGTATAATATTGACTGTAGCCATAGTACCAAGTAGATAAGGATTGATCTCTATCACCTTCTTCACAGTCTGAGAAGCTGCAATGTTAAAACACATGTATAATATTGACTGTAGCCATAGTACCAAGTAGATAAGGATTGATCTCTATCACCTTCTTCACAGTCTGAGAAGCTGCAATGTTAAAACACATCTATAATATTGACTGAAGCCATAGTACCAAGTAGATAAGGGTTGATCTCTATCACCTTCTTCACGGTCTGAGAGGCTGCAATGTTAAAACACATGTATAATATTGACTGTACCATAGTACCAAGTAGATAAGGGTTGATCTCTATCACCTTCTTCACGGTCTGAGAGGCTGCAATGTTAAAACACATGTATAATATTGACTGTAGCCATAGTACCAAGTAGATAAAGATTGATCTCTATCACCTTCTTCACAGTCTGAGAAGCTGCAATGTTAAAACACATGTATAATATTGACTGTAGCCAATACTTGGTACTATTAGTACCAAGTAGAAAAGGGTTGATCTCTATCACCTTCTTCACAGTCTGAGAAGCTGCAATGTTAAAACACATCTATAATATTGACTGTAGCCATAGTACCAAGTAGATAAGGATTGATCTCTATCACCTTCTTCACGGTCTGAGAGGCTTCAATGTTAAAACACATCTTTATTGACTATAGTTAAATATTCTTAACCAATTGATTTGCTCATTTACAGTCTATATCTATATAATCTATATGAAATCTATATTCTATAGTACATGTAGAATCTATATTGTATAGAAGTTGCCATTCCTTGTTTATACTGAATTCAAGTTCAAAATATATCAGTCTCATGACAAATATACATATCACACCTTTTCATTTGAAGCTAAATAGTTGAGCTGCAATAATGAAGTTGAAATTAAGATTGCTTGTCTGACAGTTATACACTTATGTGATCTACTGGTATATCCCAACGTTTCATTATATTGGACAACTACAAAGTACAAATTCAATCTCAGTTCATTATTCTTTGAACTGATATTATATAAACCAGTCTGTGCAGGTACATTCTATAGAAGATGGACTATGAGGTAGACAACTAGAACAAAGAATCAATTAATTTTCTTATTAGATGATAATGTTATTAATCACATGATGGGTGAGTTTTTGTTGTTATCTTATACTCATTTGTTTCACCAGGCAATAGATTCAACAATACAAATTAAAAACTAACATAGTTTTATACATAACTCTGATTTACAAAGAAAGCACATTATTTTAAGTCAAATTGTGTGCTTAAAGTGTAAAGATGGGAGAAATTTCAGATAAAGAAAACTGTTTTACCAATATAAGGTCCAGCGGTTGCTCTGGAGTCTACAGCCACAATGACGCCATGTTTGAACTTAAAGGCTAAAGTTGTGGTTCCATGGTCAAACTCTATTTTTACATCTTTATCACCATCCACCAATGTCTTCATATCCCGGACAGGCTAAAAAGCAAATATGGGTGTATTAACAATGGAGGATTTTCTAACAAAGATGCAGACATTCTCCTAAGTTCCCCTCTACAAAACATTACTTTGTCCCCATCATGAATACTGTATAGCTAGTTACAGTACCAGAACCCAAGATACCAGATGGACTTTATTTTCTCATCCTTCTTATATGGAATGAAAAAAGTTCAGAAAAGCAAATGGCGGAAGCATCCAGAACTAACAGATAAAATTACATCAAGCTTTGAGCGATTATTTTGCCTATATTAGCAAAACTGTGCATTAATGATCAAATTTGTTCTGGAGAAAATTTTTTGCTATTTTAAAAATTGTAATGAGAATATTTTATCAACTGATCAATTAGAATTGAAACAAACACTCTTCTTTGTGAAATATTGCATGCTTCCATCAAGCTTTCATCCAGAACTAAAATCACTGGGTCTGCCATTTTTAAAATAGGTCGAATATGTGGAACCATAAAACATACAGAGTTTCATGATCAGCCTAAGGAGACGACACAGGGGAGTGGATTAGCTTTCGGAGAAGGTAAGTTTCGCAAGGGACACTCTATTCATTTTGAAAAACCACCACTTACTAGTGTTGTCGCGATGTGCCATAATCGAACATCGATGCATCGGCAATATTCAGTAGTAAACATCGATGCACATCGCGATGTACATCGAGAAAAAGTTCGAGAAAGGTGCACTGAAATATCGAATGCTAATGCACTAAAATATCGAACAGAACAAATTAATAAGAGTACGCTGGTACATCCGGGAACGTAGTAACGGTGAAATGAAAGTAAAGTAATTTTTTTAGATTAATGGTTCATTTCGACTAGCTAAAACAATTTTAAAGCGAAAGAATATCAGAAAACATTTGAAAATGAAATAAGACATGAAAAAAGGTAAGCAATTTGCGTCAAAATAAGAAAAGGGCGATTTTTAGCAAATTAAAAATTTTTAAAAACATCAATGTTTTGTTTCAGACATCGATGCATCGCCAGAACCAGCTTTGGCGATGTATATCGCGATGTATCGATTAATCGCGACAACACTACCACTTATCTATAAGAAACAGCACTAGAATTGTCACTGGAATGCCGAGACAACCATACATTGACAAACTAAAGGAACTGAACCTCTCAATGGTCCATACGAGGAAAAGACTGATGCAGAAAGTGTATGCTAAGTAAGTTGTACCGTTTCATACACTTCAGGATAGTAATTTTCAGTTACGACTTAGTCCATGACTCCATGCATCGTCAACTGCTAGACATTGGAAATGGAATGACATGCAAAAAATAAAATCATTTTTGTCAAAAGTTGATCCGCAATTTCTGGTCCTACATCTGTACTCACGTCGTAATTTTGAGGAATGGTGAAGTTTTCTGATGACTGCAACGCATTTTGGAAGTCGCTGAGACCATCTTGGGGTCCCAATGCAGTTGGAATAGCAGCAAAGTTGCTAAAACTTTGTGAAAAATTACATGCATCCGCCAGCGCCATTTTGTTTAATATTTACGGAGCCAAAAGGTTTGGCGAATTTTGATTGGCTTATAAATTTATTCAGTCCGTAGAAACGTCAACTTCCGGAAGAAAGGAAAGATGAAAGATTTGTTTTTGTCGATATTTTTAGTGATTGTGTCCATATCCATAGTTATTTGCTTTATATTATTTTGTAAGTATAATTCTAGTTATTTGAGTATTGCTCCTATGTGTCGGATTTTTTGATAGATCATACTTTTTTCTGATTTTTTTAGTCTGAGTTGATTCCACAGATGGCAGAATTTTTCTTAGGAAACTAGCCTACATTTGTATTTATTTAGGATCTTTTTCCTAATAAAAACTATGCCATCTGTGGTTGATTCAAGACACGATCCTCGGCCAGATTCATCTTCCCATTAGCCTCACCATGGGCTTTCAAAATCCCATGGCCTCACATCCTCCTAAGCAGGTGTACAGAATCCGTACCTGCTTCTTCCCCCTGCTACAACCAATTTGAGAGCGCCCGATTAAACTGAATCAAGTGATCTAATTATGCGCAATGACTTATACATGATTTATGTCGCAACATGTGTTGCGACGGCCAAATCAGATTGCGAGTTCTTAATCGGGGAAATGTTAACTGCTTATCGCAGGGGGTAAAAAGAATGTATTCTGGATTTTGAAGCCCTTTGATCGGAGGATATTAGTCTCAAGGCTCAATGAATTTACTCATAATTTTGTTGAGCCTTCTACACCAATGGGGACTGGATCTGGATCTGGCTAAGGATCCGTGACTCAAAGACTTGAGGATACACAGCTGTTCCACAGAAAGGAAAAGATCAAGTCCTTTTTGGGCTTCTTTGGGTCCTCATGCTCACTACATTATTTATAATGTACTGAGCGTGAGGACCCTCAAAGAACCCCATAGAGACACTTAAAGGACTTGACACAACTTCCTGTGAACTACTCATCATGAATAAAATGATCAAGGAGAACTGGTTTCCAGGGTCTGATCTCAATACCGTGAGTGTAGCGCCTGAGACTAACATAAAATGTCTCAGGTAGCGCCTGGTACACACAGGCGCAAACTTCAAAAATTTCTGGGGGAAGAACCCAAACTCCCTGACTACTCGTTTTGCTCAACTTGCGTTCCCGTGGTGGTGTACTACTAATGAATACAGCGCTACACTCAGCAGTCATGTCATGATTGCAAACTTAAAAATAAAATCCACAATTTTTTCACTACAAAATTTGGATCACAACTTTTGGTATACCAAACAAAAAATTCGAAACACAAGAAGTCATCAAGATATAAGTTCAAATCTTTTGAATTCGCTATTGCTTAGTCTATCAGTATCATGTGCAGAGTATGTGTACATTCATTTGAAAATATCCCTACAGTGTCTTTATCTGATGATGAAAAATACTAAAGAAGGTTCATTTTCATATTACAGTTTCAAAACCTCCGGAAAAGGAGACAATTTCGCTGTGTATACATTATGTAGCTTATTGAAGTATGGCAGACCCCTTGATATTTATAACTGTACATCCCAGACATAAAAATGTAAGAAATCTCACTGTTCTCAAAATTATTTGAGACTTCCCTGCAAGTAAGTTTTCTAGAGTTACATGATCGTCACCTTACAGCCTTAGGCCATTATCATAGATACCAGATTTTCATTTGACCAATAACAATTTTGAACTGGCATCCTCAACTTTGACAACCCACCCTGACCCAGTAAGGAAGATTCCAGCCTATACATTTTATATTTACCGCTATTTTCAGGTTGGTGTCTAGTATGGAAACTCTTTTTAGTGCGGTTCAAATTCATCAAGGAACTGATGGGCAGCAATGGAAATGGGAATGGAGTTCATGGAAAACATGAACGTGATGCTCCTATACAAAGGAAAAGGCAGCGTAAAGTTCGATATGAGTAGCATTCAACCCATAATATACAGGATAGTTTCTCAGGGTCAGCACAACACAATAAATGTATATTGGATAGTAATGGATACACATGAACACATATTTGTAAACAAGACAAGCTGTTGGTTCCTGCCATGGATTTCATGACAGATGGACTGTAAAGTACATGTAGGATGTGACATTTGTTTTTACTCCACTAAATTGAAGGCCTGGAAATGGATGTGTTGTATTTAGCGGTATGATCTCGTATTTTTACATCACTAAATTGAAGGCCTTGAAGTGTTGTATTTAGCACAATGTGACAAGGAACTCCATTATGAACATCTGGGCTATAAGACTATAGACTAAGTTAAGGCACAAACAATGATGTAGGCCTCTTGCTCAAACTGATGTGATAACCATGTTGTGATAGCTCTATCATATGGGGCAGTATATTTAATTACAGTGTATATACATGGACTTATAAGTCTGTGTAAGTCTGTGGTACATGTATGTTTTGATGATTGAGCATACATTTATGCACACTACATTGACCATATGGATTGAGAGTATTAGTCAAGTGCATTTTAGACAGACAAAACCTAAGGCTGGATGATACAAATGATGATGATTTCAAGTGACATTTAACAGAACCATTGGTATTTAGGTGAATTAAGCTTCATACAATGTACATATACATTATATGTACAAGAGTTATACTGCTGAGTAAGACATTAATAATGTTATTGTTACATATTGACATTATGGGAATATCTTAGTATTTTAGTTATTTTATAAAGAATGTGCCATTAACCTTGAGTCAGGTAACTATTTTTAGCCCATGTGTCAGCGAAAATTGGCACTGGATTATGGGTTTACAAAAAATATGTCTGGTAGTTTGTTTTTTCCACTACAGTAAAAACAATACAGAATATACAGAACAATACAATACAGAAAAAAATATTTGATTTCATTGATAGGTGGAAATACAGTAGAAACTGTGTAAGTGGATTGCCCTTGGGGCCACAAAAAAGTGTTCGACCTGCAAGGTGTACCACTTACAGAGATTCATTAACATGGAGTCAATAGACTGCAGGACTTTAAAACCCTGTTCAACTTGGGTGGTGTTCCACTTAAAGAGGTACTGTCATCCACTTTACAGTTTCTACTGTAATGTTGTTAGTCAATGATCTGTTAGTTTCTGAAAAATATCCTTAACATTATGTTAACCCCCACCTTTTGAACATCTTGTGGATCACCTAAAGATTTTAAATTCAGCAGAGTTTCTTCAGCCAGTGAAATATTGGGGAGGCAGAACCTCCCCCTCCTTCCTCAGTCCAAGAGTATTTCAGTTCTCTTCTCGAGGAAGACTGATCTTGAAGGGTGAATCTCTCCCTGGTTTAGGAATTTTAAAATTGCTTCAAAGAGAGCTAAAACTGTAAAATGGTCAAGGAAAAAATCTGTTTGGGAAAAACAACAAAATATCAAGGAATTTCATGAAAATCCCTGTTTCCTTGAAAAGTTTATGTAACATGTGAACAAGTGGAGAAGTGATTCAAATTAGTGAATTGAATTGTTCCAACATTTCTGTAAACTCTCTTTCAAACGCTGGCTGCTGGCTACATAGATCAGCTAGCCTTTGGAAGAGATAAGTAACTCATACTCCAATAATCTATCATAATAAATGTATCATTTTATTGGGCAATAAGGAAATGGGCACATCATGGATACTACAATTGATTAAATCTATAGATGGAGTAGCAACGTTTAGCACATTTTAGCAAGGCCTTGGAAGCCATATATGTGTTATTGAAGTAGAAGGTTCAATTTGCAAAATCAGTTTAAGGACAAGGATGTAGCTAGGCTGTGAGGCATGAGGTTCGTATTTTGTAGAAAAATACATATTTTCTCAAAAGAAACTGGAAATGAATATATTCTCAAATTGAAGTGCATGTATATACACTGTATGCCAAATTCATTTACTAGTATCTTGTTTATTTAAATATCGCATGGTTTGGGGAAAATAAGGGGAAAGTAGAAAACATTTGTGATCTTAAATAATACTAATACTAAAAATAGTTTTAATTCATAATGTATAGTCTAAATCTTGCATCATCAATAGACCTTCGTACCTAATTCCTCACCTATTAAGCAGTATCACCGTATTAAATTATTTCACTTTCTACATGAGTAATTTTTGGATAATTACAGCAAAAGGTTTTTTATTGATGGTACAAGCTGACTAGCATGTTATTATAAATTTAAACAATTTGGCTAATTTTATATAGGGTCACAATTAAATTTGTTACTATAGAAAGTATATTGTAGGCTATTCCAGTATTCTAGTTGTGTGTAATAATTGTGATTACAATGGAATGTTGTTTCATTATACTCATTCTTAGTAAAAGGGTATTTAACTTCTTTTCAAAAGATCAGCGCAGCCGGGTCTTGAAGCAGATTATACCTGACACTTTTATGATATGATTTTAAGATATTAATGTAACTTATTGATGTTGCGTGTCTGTCATAATTGTTTTTTATCGCAAGTCATCATAGTGTGCAAATTTACTTTCATCATACATTTTTATGACAATAATGCACTTGATCATCACTAAAGTGTTATTAGTATTACTATTATAAAAATAAAAAATATTCATTGACAAGAAAATAAACATATAATTTGCAAAATAAGAATTATCTAAAATAATGAAATAAATGCTCAAATATCTGTTTTAGAATAAACCTGCTTATTAGTTAAATTTTTATTTCTCCATTTGATTAACGATTACTTGATTTCACCATTTCAATACTTTACGAGACTTTCAATCACGTGATATATTTGAAGTCCGCCATTTTTGAAATCAACACGAATGTCCTCACCTCCTCAGGCGCGCTTCCCTAAGAAAAAATGGCTGTTCCAATGCTACTCAACTGTATAGATCTTCATCGTAACCCGGGATCGTAACTACCACCAGGATTTGCCATAAACATTGAAATCTGTGAGAGAATGAAAACGATGTAGAATACAAAACTCGAGGCCACGTGACAAAATATCGAACAACAACGAAAGTTGTCGAATATTGCTTTATTGTATTCGGTAAATAGCAAATTTGCTTTCGGTAAATGCATTAACTGTGTTATAGAAATAAATTATTTGTTAAATAAAGACAAACGTTCGGTAGGGTTCAAATACAAATTCGATATTGCGCATATAATGTGTTACTCTTAACGAATAAAACATGTAATTAATGCACATAGTATTAAGTGATTTAATCCATTGACTATTTTGAAAACTTAATTCGCTTTAACAAATATATATAAATGTTTTTTTACCGAATGGAAAATTGATTTAGCGAATGTAAATATTCCATATATCGAAAATATTTGAATTTAATGTATAAAGAAGCAAATAAAATGCCATGCCAAATAAATATATATATTCGCTGTTTTGTCATTTGCAATGTCTCTTTTAAGGTTGCAAGCAGAAATATACTTTACAAGTCACGCAAGAAAACTCTTTTGCACAATATGCGTCGGTATTGATTATGTTTTTCGGTACAATGGGTTTCGGCATAACGCGCGGACCCTAGGACGTCAACCCGGTCTGAAGATGGTATTTGAATTATTGCATTAAAATTAAATGTCAAACTCATGACCATTTCAATTAAATGATTTGAATAGTATTTTTTTCATTGCAGCATTGGCCTCGAGAATCTGTCACGTAGTAATCATTATAAAGTTCATTACTTTTTACTTCAATCATAGCCAGATGGATCATGAAACCAGTATTAAATAGACATAATAAAACTAATGAATGTAAATGCTATCACGAGTTCGTGGTATTGTTAATATATAAAAAATACGTATAGTTAGAACCAAACCATGAATTGAAATCCTGGTATTATAAAAAGCGCATTTATTTATACAATCATATTGCAATTGCGTTGGAGAATACATTGGAAATCAGCGGCAAAATATTGGGAAAATGAAGACATCCTCACTGACAGTGACAGGTTTGGCCATCGCCATCGTTATACCACTCATCAACGCAGATTGTAACAAGCCAGGTTTGTACATGGTCATCGTTAGTTGATTTATTTAGGTTAACTATGTCTCAATACACATATAACATATGATAACATATTGATGAATCAAACATTGAAAAAACAGGTGTGGTAAGGGCTGAAAATCAAGACAACATTACAGAAAAAAAATATATGTTGATGGGGTGTTTGCACATTCCCTGTCTCAAAGTCCAAATTATTTTTCAACTCTATCATTGCTTGTCCTGGGGTTAATGCATTGGCCTAACATATGCGCCGGTTCAAATCATCAGATATTGGCAAAATCCAACATATGACTGTCTGAAATCTGTTGCGATATCTTCCGTGGCCCTTTGTGATGCTTTTCTCTCTGCTGATAACTCGCTCGGGTCTTAAAAATTTTGTGAAGGTAAGTTGAACGAACAATAGTAAAAACAAAAGTAAAAATGGAAAGCCACGCGGTTCCGATGGTTTTAGCGTGGAATTTTACAATTTTTTCTATAAACATTTTACTGAACTCAGTGAATGCAGCTTTTGTTTTGGCTGAACTCCCTTTAATACAGAAACAATGTATAATTACATGTTTTTCAAAAGGTAACAAATTGAGAAAATTCTTTAAAATTGGAGGCCAATCACTCTTCTTAACGCTGATTATAAGCTTCTAAGTGCCTCTCTTGCAACCAGAATGAAAAACGTTTGCTACAAATTATATTCTCGAACAAAAAGCATATCTGCCTGGTAGAGAGATGGCGGAGAATACCCGCCAAGTATTTGATATAAAGAAAGCAACAAGCTGGTTTAATACTTTTTGCAGATTTCGAGAAAACCCTTGATAGTATCGTGTGGGCTTATACCTCGATAAGTGCTTGAAAAAATTAATGTTGGCTAGTTTTATATGATGTTTTCATGTTCTTTATAATCGATCCGAAAGTTGTGTCATAAACAATGGACATTTTTCAGATATCTCCGTTTTTCTACTTTTTTCAATCAAATCGATGTTGCCAACAGGATGACACTTTTGTGATCCTTCATCATGGAGAACATGCATTGACATTTTCAAAAATTTCATAGGGCGTCTGCCTTAAAATTAGACGTCGATAAAACATCAACTATTTGGATTGAAAGCAAAGCAAATTCGGGCGAGAGATATTTCTTTGAAATTGATGGGAAACACAATTTAACTATTAGGTTTGCAACTGTTTTCCGACCTAAGAAATGTAGAAAAGCTGAACCTCGAATCGAAATTGCCAGAAATGCGAATCGTAATTACATGAATTAGCATATACATTATATATTATATAATTAGTAAATAAACTACGAAAAATAGCGGTTTTTAAGTATTTTGTTCTACAAAAATAGTTTATTTAATGCTTGTTTTATATCGGGAGAGTCCCATGAAAAAATTAAAAACCTTTTTATTAATATTATATATATTTGGAATTCTCCAATTTCTAAGGTTTTCTAAGGTTTTTTCTCAATTTTTCTAAGTTTTTCTCAATTTGCAAAACTTATAAAGACGGGGGTTTAAGAAAGATTGATCCACAACTTCACGAAAAATCATTTGAATTAACATGATTGCAAAAACACTTAGAAATGGTAAATATTGCCATAAAAACTTTAGGTTCGAATCAGGTATAAGAAGTTCTTTCTTAAAGATGCGTGGTCTGAAAATGACAATGCTAAAACTTTATTTCAACCAACCATTATACGAATTTAAATCTACATGTAGAGTGTTACAAGGGACGTTTTGAATGACCAGGCTTGATAAAGTCTATCATACCATGGACTTCCTTGACACTCCATGATCAGACACAAAACAGTTTGCTATCCAAATATCTTAGCACGTTAAAGATGTACAGGGTGGGCCAAAAACGCCACTTTTTTCAAAATGCTATACTTTTCAATTTTTTATCCAAAATCATAATTTGCATACCAAATGAAACTTGAGGATGCAATCTAGCCATGAATTATGAATAATTCAATTGTGCAGTTTTTATTGAATAAAATATGTCACCAGCGCCTCACTTAAACATCAAGTCAAGAGTTCAATTAATAAACGTGATAAGCTCTATAGGAAACTAAAAACTGACCACACAACTGAAAATTATGAAAAATTCAAAATCCAATCAGATGTAGTTAGTAATGCAATCACAAAAGCCAAATTGTCCTATCATGAATCTATTTGTACTAACTTGGAAGCAAACTCATCAAATAGTAAATTTTATTGGATCGCAATCAAGAAATTACTTGGTAAAAAGTTTTGTTCAGATATTCCTATGTTGACAAAAACGGACATTTTGGCAAAAAACAACAAAGAAAATGCAGATTTTCTTTTGCAACAATTTCTGACCAAATTCCATCACAATTTTGATGAACTTGACTCTCCAAATATTCCATCAAAAGCAGATCAAATCTTAGAAAGTATTGACTTTTCAAAACAAGGTGTTAATAAAATTTTGTGTGACCTTAATACTACCAAGCAAGGAGGACCAGACGGAATAACAAATAAAATGTTGAAAATGTGTTGCGACGGTATAGACCAACCATTATTTGATCTTTTCAAAAAAGTTATAGAATTTAACACATTTCCAAGTTCCTGGAAACTAGGAACTGCCGTTCCAATTTTCAAAAATAAAGGTTCCAAATGTGACCCCAAAAATTACAGACCAATTACTCTGTTAAACAATGTTTCAAAAATATTTGAACGATTGATACAACAATATGTTCAAATATGTCATTGACACGCGGTAGTATCTCTTCGGGACGTATCGAAACCACTCCGTCCCGAAAAACCGTTCATTTGAATTTAAAACCTACCCCAGTGTTTGAAAATCAAGGATTGTGAGTTTCACACTTCACCGTTTTTCTTCAAACTTGTTCCGTACAAAGCTTCACAGAAATACCTTTCAGTCGATACATTGTTTTCGTGTACAAAGTACCTCGTTTTAGCGGCGTTTTGGTCCCCAGCTGCGAGATAAAGCAAATTTTCATAACTTTCAACTGTGAGTCAAGTTATCTCGCCAGTCTTTTACCCATTCTCGCTCATAATTTCAGAATGGACTCCCATTACAACCTTCCATCGCTACGTTTTGATTTTTGGGCATCAAACGCAGCAGTTTCTAAATCATCCACACATCTCTTAAAATTTGACTAATACGTCCCGTCACCTTCCACTACGCCCCGCCGATTTTGGACCACCCTATTATAGGTATATTGAAAATGGACAAGAATGGGTAAATCTTAAAACACAATCCGATTGGTATTCAGTGGCGTAGGAACAATGTACGCCAAAACGCCAGTGCGTAGTGTTGAAAAGTGAGATAAAAATGCTTTTTATTCTTCCTATGTTCTTTAGTCATATTTTCTCATTGTGCATACATTTTAAAAGTAATCTCGAGCACACAAGCCTTAAGAAATGTTATTTTTAATACCATATAATATCCTCAAAAGTACTCTTTTGCAAGGTTTTTGTGCCTCTGTTATTTTTCTAGCCTGGGCCACAGATAAATGACATTTTTTGAAAAATGAAATTCATAAAATATTGAAAGTTACCTTGAATTGTTTCTTATACTGTCGAAAATGCGATGTAATCAATATTGCGCTGTTTGGTAAATAACCAATTAACAGATTGATTCCCCTTTGCAACATGCCTTTTTCATGAAAATCGAGCCACTATTGACTATCTTATGAATTTTAAAAGTGAAATACAATTTCGCCAAATATTCGTGAATCGCGTTTAACTTCACGAATTTGAGAGAAAACCCGTTTTTCAAAAACTACTTGATGAATACATTTCCAATTTTTGTGAATGTTCCGTAATGCCTTTTCAAACTGTGGTTTCATCATTATAGTGATGAACCCCTTGAAAATTTAAATATATATTTTTTTATTATCCCCTATCCCCAATTTTTCAATTTCACTAATTCAATTTATATTCCGTTGCTAGACAAAATCATGGACCGAAATCATATTGGAATAATAATAAGTCAGCAAAAATATTTTTTCTTACTAAATCACTTATTGTTATTGGTAGTACTTAAAGACAAAAACAACATGAAATTGTTGATTATTCAATTCCACGTTCCATTGATTTCAATGAGTTTTGGCAATACCTGCTATATTTGAAAGTACATAATTTCAGTTCTAGAAAAGCTTTTATTTGGATTTTTATTTCATTTGCAAGATAATATATTATCATTTTCGGAAATATAGCATTTTGGCACCCACTTAGTAACATTGACCCCGATTTGACCTTTGTGGAGGGTTTGCGAATTGGTGTTATAAAAAAGGTTGCAAACATTAATCATACTAGTTTCTTTAATTTGTATTGTCCCATTGCACGTTATACGATGGAATCAGAAAATTATGTATCTAAATTCACTATTCAAAAATGATCAAAAATCTCTGATTGTTATCTGGTCGTCTACTCTATATCCCTTGAGAAAATTAGCATTTACATGAGAAAAGTGAGAATGAGTTATGTCGTGATTTAAAAGATCGTCTTTCCATGGTGATTTTATACAGTAAAACCTGTCTAATTCGCAAATTCGAACATACCTGGAACCAGTCAAAGGTGTTCAAATTAGGAGATATTCACATTTTAAGGGTTTATTAACATGCGAGTCAATGGGAGATCACAAAATTGGGACAGAGAAAGCTAAGTGTTCACCTTGAGGGCTGTTAAGATAAAAGAGGTGTTCAGATATACAGGTTTCACTGTATGATGAAAAACATTCGAACGTTTTAAGCACATAAGAAAGGTATTGCCATAAAATGGCGTTTTACGAGCATAAAATAGGAGTTTTGATAGCAGAAGGTTTGACACACATTGTTTCATATTTTTGGCGTAGTGTTGAATTTACTCCTTCCTACGCCCCTGGTATTTAGAATCGACAATGGCAACCTACAAACGGACACATCGATGGACAAATTGTTTTAGAATGCAACTCTACGTGTATAGTGATAGACTCGGCGGGGCGTAGTGGAAGATGACGGGACGTATTGGTCAATTTTGAAGAGATGTG